TCGTATGTGTTGGACAGTTGGATTAGTTTAGTCCTGACAGGTCTTGTCCACGAGGTCGTAGGTGTGGCTGATCAGGTCATTCCATTTGTCACCCAGCTCCTCCTGCTGATTGAGGACCCTTTTCAGCGTCAGCCTCTGAGCAGCACTTTCATTAGAAGAGTGAAGGGCAATTTTAGAAAGGAGGGTAATTTTTGGGTCTATCTTTTCGGGCATCCTCCCCTTCAGTTCTTCTATCAATGCTGCTCCCTGTTGGAACATTCTCTCCTTTTTCTCCACCTCAATTATTTTTCGTTCCATATCCTCTCTTTTTCTCAATTGCAGCGCCTCGTCCTCAATTCCCTTCTTCTTGGCGATAGCAGCAGCTATAGTTTCCTGCACTGCCTACCCTTCGGTTTGTGCTGCTGCAGATAGCGGTGCCCCCTTGTTGAGGCTAATGACCGCCCGGAATGCATCTAGGCTCTCCGAGGATATTCCTTCTCCTGCCCCTTGCTTGCTTGACTCTGTCGGTATCAGCTTCCTTTCCCTTGTCTTCCTTTCGACTCCCGGCCTCTTCTTCTTCCTCTTCCTCATCATCACCTTCCTCCGCCTTGTTCATCTGCTCATCCAGTTTTCTTCTTTCTTCCTAAAATCTTTTCGTTTCCTTTTCTTTTTCTTCCTTTTTCTTCGTTTACTCCTCATCCTTCTTTCTTTTCTTCACCTCATCTTCTGCATCCCTCAGTGCAGGGTCTCTTTTTGGGATCGGTGTGTGATAGGGGTCATCCTACTTGTTCGGAAGAAGTCGATGGGGAGCAGATAACAGAGCAACAGCTCCCAAATCAAGGTCAATGCGAGGAAAACGAACACTGGGCAGTCAGCCACGGTGATGTGTTAGTATAGCAGCGGTAAGTTGCTCCACCTTTTCACTATGTACACCTGACCCTCGATACTTAAATCCCTCAAAGCTTGGTCGTAACCTAATTCTAAGTGTTGACTGGTTTTAAAATCCCTTCCCATGTCTGTCACTATGGATTCCAGTCCGAGTTGGTGGAAAGCCAGCGATTTAAGGACTGCTAGCGACATCCTCAGGAATTATTTAAGCAGGAAGACGTGGCCACAAGATAAGGGGTCTCCCTCAAGACTTACAAGCTCCCTATTGCACCTTCCAATTCGGTTGCACGCCGGTCAATATTCGTCACTGGGCTAGACAGGTTGTTTAATGAGCATGTGCCGCTCATACCCATACTCCCTACTTTACAAAAGGTGCTTCAGTTGTCGAGCTCCTAACCGACTGAAACTCTTCACTGCGTCACTTGGTTTCCGTGCTGCGTCGATCTATACCTGTCTTAGGACTAGTTGGGTTGTTTTATGAGCGCTTGCCAATCTGCCCATGCTTTCTACTTGTCACGAGATTTCGTCGAGTTGGCTAGTTTCTACCGTAGACTGCTGACCTAGAACATGCACGGGTTCTTCTCTCTCATGGGATTGGGGTCCCACCGGGTACACATGCCCCCAGGTAGGGTGGCAACCACTAACCACTTCCCCACGAGGGAAGGAGTCTTTCCTCCAGGAGAGATCAGTCCTCTGACTCGCCAAACATCAAGCAGATCAATTCGTAGACTCTCAAGCATTGACAAAGTAGCAAGTGTGACCATGTGACATCAATAGAAAACCAAGTTGCAGCGGTTGTCACCAAAGTATGTGGAAACTTCACCAAAGCAACAACAAACAAATGCAAGACAAGGCTAGGGGCAATAAGCACTTCCCTTGGGTCTTGAGGATGTTGCTGCCTGGTGGTCTGCACCGCATGCGTATGTTTTCCACGCGCCAGAACCCCAAACAGCCGCTTCTACTTCGGCCTTCCTCCACTGGACAAACCTTATACCAGGTACACCCGCTGGCCTTATTCCTTGCCGAATCTTACTTCCACCAGCATGCAACGGGTTCCAGCTCCGATACTAGTGCAATGAACCTCCCCTCAAGACACAGAACAATCATGCATGCACAGCTGAACATTCATGTGAGAGCTCACACTTGACACCGAGAGATGGAATCTTGACGAGCGCAATTGAAAACTCAAAACAATTATTATTGCTATTCAAAGAATTGTTTGTGTATCTGGTGGCATCAGCCGCATCCACTCCCGACACCAATCAGCTAAGTAACCACCCCCTATCCTATTGGTGTGAGCCTATCTCTCTCACCCTCTCCTAACCCTTCTCTCTCTCGTCACTTATATCGCTCTGTCCTTGCTGCGCTCCCTGTCTCCTAGCCTAACGTCTACCCTGAATACAACTGTGATGTAACTCCCCGAAGCTTCGCAGCTATGGCTGCCTTCTACCTCCTCCCCTCTCCTAGGTATGGATGTCTTCTCCCCGCCAGTGCCTGCTTCTCCTCCTGGCTCTACCCTCTATTATTAGCTGCTATCGCACAAGCAACCAGCAGCCGTTCTGCAACTTTGCGAATGAACAACTGGTCTACCCTTGCACTGAAGCAGCTATAAATGGAAATCCTTGACTTGCTTTGCCTGCTTCGGACCAGTACTGGTAACCCGCAGCTTGTCTTGCTGCATGTTGTGTCGTTCCCGAAGTCTCTGGACTTTCTTGGGATGCTGCTTCAAAATTGGACTTCGGGACTTTACTTTGTGTCGGTGGTGGTAGACAATTACTGACCTGTGATGCTTCAGTACCCGACTCTACAGGACTGCGACATTTCAGCCTACGCACCCTTCCGGGACTCTACAGCCCCTGGGAATTCAGCTACTGGGACCTAGGGGCCTGGGCCCAATTGGGACTCTGGGACCGGGACTCAGGACTGATACAGCGTGATCCTTTCACTAGTATGAGGTAGAAAAATGTTGAGAGACGAAAATAGTGTAAGTGAAGACAGCTGTCCCCCATATATGCAGAGAAGACAGCTGGCCCCCATATATGAGGAGAAGACAGCTTCGCCAAATTCAAGCGCCGCGCACGGGCTAAGGTCTTTGCTATAGCAGGCGAAGACGTAAAGAAACCACGCAATGGCTGGTAACCAGGTTCCGAATTGAAAAAAACAATTAAAAAAAAAAATTAAAAATGCAAAACGGCATGACCCTTAGCCCAACCAGAAGAAGGGTCTCACAGGGCAGCATCTCATGAGACCTGCCATTCCCTTCAAGATATAGTAGAGATAGGGAGAGATATATAGATAGGCATTCATATGTGCAAGTTCTATGTTTGGTTTTGGTGCATGTTATTTTCAGACATGTCAGTTCAGGTCCCACAATGGTGAAGTTGCCGTCCTTAACCGCCCAGTACATGGCCACAGCCAACTTCAAAGAATCCATTGCTTGCTCCTAAAATTTAGGAGATTCAGGGCTACCGGACCTCGATGGCTGGCGGCGCCAGCCAAAAAGGAAGAAAAGTGCACCGCTGGCGGTTCAGCAAAGCTTGGCATGTGGCCTGAGTCCACCAGGCTCAGGTATACTGGTTCGGTACACGACCCCAGCCAACTTCCAAAAGTTGATGGCTTACTCCTGAAATTTCAGAGGCTTGGGCCTACCGAATGACAATGGCTGGTGGCGCCAGCCAAAGAAGTAAAGAAGTGCGCCGCTGGTGGTTCGGCAAAGCTTGGCACGTAGTGCGAGTCCACTAGCCTTGGGTATAGTGGTGGTTTAACATCTGTTTGCATAACTTGTGCGTCTGCTTTCGCTCTGTGTTTTCCGCAGGTTACAATAGCCGTTGAGAGGGAGTAAGGGGAGCGCACTGGCTAGCCGAGAGCAACAGTGATTGGTATGGCCATCTCATGGTAATTTAACTATGGCGGGGATCCCGTCTTCCGACTGAAAGTCAAGGGAGAGCCAGGAGTGGTGGAGGCTGTCCTTTTTAATAGAATGACAGTTGGAAAGTGCAGGTATGTGATGTTATGGAAAAGCAGCCCAAGGGAAAGTCATCAGGACTGGATGGTGTGTTGCAGCCTACCTTCCTCCTCCATGGATTCAAGGTTTAGTGTGTTAACCTGCTCAGCTGTGGGAGTGGTAGCTCTATTTGTGGCTTTATGTGAGAGTGGGAGTAGGTAGACTGGTGCACATGCACTCTATAGTGAAGTATGAGATAGTGTCAGGTGATGATGAGTGTATGCGACACCAGTGCTTTCTCAAGACACATGAATTCCGGATTACGCTCTGAAAAATTAAGCAAACTATGGATAATATTGCCAATCGTGTCAGGACTCATGT